GCTCTAATTTTAGGTCCTTAACTTAACCTCAATTCTGAAGCACTTGTGACGTCGCCCCGCCGCGAGCCTGGCCTTCGTAGCAACGCTCTTCGTCCTACTGCCTCGAGCGTTGCTCCTCTGCGCCATCTTGTATTTGACTTTTCTGTCTGTTGTTGTCTTCTCGCGGCGGTGGTTTGCGTGGGGTGGAAAAGGAGACTGAGGGTTTCCAGGTGAGACCCTAAACCCGACAAGGTCAAGGTTTGGGCGGCTGGGGAGGGAATACTAGCTACGCAGAGCGAGCGCAATGGGGAGGGGCAGCGTGAAAGAAACATGGGTAGCTGCCCCGTGAAAAAGCGCGAGCGACCACAGCGCACACCCTAAACCCTAAACCCTAAACCCTCGAAACCCCCAAAACCACATCCCGAAGCCGCCCAAAGCATCTCTGGACCTCGAATCTACAGTTGAACCCATGGGGGTTCTAACATGGGCCCTTAGGGGAGTCTAGAGTTTAGGGTTTAGGGTTTAGGGTTTAGGGTTTAGGGTTTAGGGTTTAGGGCCCTTGGGCCTTCTAGGGGGATTCTGGGGTCCCTTAAGGGTATATATAGGGTAGATAGTAGGTATAGGGTTTAGGGTTTAAGGGTTTAGGGTTTAGGGTTTAGGGTTTAGGGTTTAGGGTTTAGGGTCCCAGGGTTAAGGGCCCATACTAGGGGCCCATGGGTTCTACCTTAGATCGAAGCCCTACTTGGACCCTAAAGAACCTACCTTTCTTTCGGGTTCCATGATATGATTTCCTAAAAAGGTAGGTTCTTCAGGGTCCAGGTGAACCCTACACCACCCAAGAAATCCATAAAACCTCCAAACCCCTATAGGAGAAGCCCAAAAGTTGGAAACCCAATAGCCTCAATCCTTAAGAGTAATGTATAGGGGATCCCAGCACTACTTGTCCTTAATCCCGTTTCCAACTTTTTGGGGTTTAACAAAACCAAAATATATCCAGGAAAGGATGATGACTTGAGTATTTGCCGCTGTGGCTTCCCGGGCATCTCGTTCAACCAGGCGCTGGGCACTTCTCACGGTTCAGGGATATTTAGGGTTTCAGGATATCTTTTGAGGGTTCAGGCAGTGGGGAGCTAGTTTGGGCTTATTGCCCCACACCCTAAACCCTAAACCGCTTAAACCCCAGACCCTAAACCCTAAACCCCTAAACCCAAAACCCCAACCCCTAGACCGCTTAAACCCTAAACCCTGCTGCTCCGAATCCGAAGCTTCTGCATGGAGGTCCTAATCGACCGCGGCACGAATCGGAGGCCCTATGACAGCCATCCCGAGGCAGGGGGTCGAGTTTTACATCATTCTTAAAGTAAGGAAACTACAAAACTGAGTTTAGGGTTTAGGATTTAAGGACTACTGTAGTTCAATAGTGCATCTAGTCTTGCCATGAAGTATGCTATGTCGTGTCCCCTTCACCTTGTTGGCCCTGGGCCTCGCCTTTCTCCTCATGAGAATCATTCCCGTCATCTTTTTGATCAGCACAACCACCACCATCATCATCATCATCATCATCATCATCACCGTCATCATCATCACCATCATCACCATCACCACCATCATCATCATCATCATCATCATCACTATCACCACCATCATCACCATCATCATCATCATCGTCGTCATCATCATCATCATCACCAACAGCAACACCACCATCATCAGCAGCAACATCAACATCAACATCACATTGGTGTTATAACTTATAATGTATAAGTACCTCGGTTGGCCGGTCTTGCTTTTTTTGTACTTACCAGGTCCCCCGATCCTCCAAATTCCGACAAGCCGCCGATAAGCCAGAATCAGAAACCTGTCGAATCTTCTATTTAGGGTAAAGGGTTCAGGGTTTTCGATCTTTTACACACCTCTGAAAACAACAGTGCGAACCATCACAAGCTGTTATAAACGCCTATACCCGGAAAATCCGAAGGTTTCGCCGTGCTACGACCTGGACCAGTGGAGCCACGGCTGGTGTATAATGGCACCATGGGCTGCACCTCAGAACGTCAACGCGTAGGCAACGCTTGTGTATGTGGCTGCGTAGGGTCTTTCGGCTCCTTAAAGAAGAAGCTCTGTGTAAAGTTGCGCTAAACCCTACTGTAAGCCCTAAATTTGCCCCAAAGTTTAGGGCCAGTCGCGCTAAACCCTACTGTAAACCCTAAATTTGCCCCAAAGTTTAGGGCCTAAGCCCTAGACCCTGCTGAAATTGTCAGGCTTCAAAACGAATGCCGAACTTTCCTCTCTACACCCCGAGCTTCTCCCAACAGCTATTTTCAGCACCAGTAAGATCACACCAGAAGGGTTCATATCGTGCAGAAAGCCTTCCAGCAACCCTTGCAGAAACCCTTATACACCCTGATCAAAACCCTGGATAACACTCTACACCCTGAACCTCAAGCCCAAAACCTCCACCCCAAACCCCTAAACCCTAAACCCTAAAAACCCGAAACCCTAAACCCTAAACCCTAAGCCCAAAAAACCCTCGTGGAACCCCTATGGTTCCCTTCCAAGGAGCCCTCATTACGGCTCCTTTTGAAGGAGACCCTCCCTAAACCCTAAACCCTAAACCCTAAACCCTAAACCCTAAACCCTTTACGGTTCCTTTTAAAGAAAACCCTAAACCCTAAACCCTTCACGGTTCCTTTTAAAGGAAACCCTAAACCCTAAACCCCAAACCCCGAACCCCAAACCCCGAACCCCAAACCCTAAACCCTAAACCCCAAACCCTTTGCGGTTCCTTTTAAAGGAAACCCTAAACCCTAAACCCATCACGGTTCCTTGTAAAGGAAACCCTAAACCCCAAACCCCAAACCCCAAACCCCAAACCCTAAACCCTAAACCCTAAACCCGAAACCCTAAACCCTAAACCCTAAACCCTAAACCCCAAACCCTTTACGGTTCCTTTGAAAGGAAACCCTAAACCCTAAACCCTTTACGGTTCCAAAGGAAACCCTAAACCCCAAACCCCGAACCCCAGACCCCAAACCCTAAACCCTAAACCCTAAACCCCAAACCCTTTACGGTTCTTTTTAAAGGAAACCCTATATAAACCCAAATCCCATCACGGCTCCTTTTAACCCAGACCCCCAAAAGGATCTAAAAAATAGATCCCCTAACTAGGGACCCTAACTACTAAAGGGTACTTTAAAGGAACCACCCTAAAGGATCTATTTTTTAGATCTTTTTGGTGGTCTGGGAATTGAAGCCCTCCAAGGAGATCTGCCCGGCTACGCAAGAGGCGCCCAGCGAGACGGAGTTTTCGGCCTTCGGTGCAGGCGGCGGTGCAGGGTTTAGGGTTTAGGGTTTAGGATTCAGCAGTTCTGACTTTGATTTTTTGAAAATTAAGGAACTTTCAGAAAGCAACCCACCCGCCCATAGAATCCCACAACATTCGACCATCATTTTTTGTTTCTACTTCCTTTAGTTAAGAAAAGCAATTTTTCACTTTTCCGTGAATGTTTCTATCATAGATCGTCATTTATGCGGTTTAGAGCTTTCAACTCTTCATGGCTTTGGACAGGCCAGCGCAGGGCAGGGCAGCCCTGGGGGCGGCGGGGGGTGGGTGGCGGCAAAGAGCGAGGGGGTGGAGGGGGGCGGCGAAGGCCGGAGGCGAAGGGGGGGGAAGGCGGGAGGCGGGGCCGCGGGGGGTTGGCGGCCCACCCTAAACCTTAAACCGTAAACCGCTAAACCCTTAACCCCTAATCCTAAACCC